AATCAAATTTCTGAATAAAAGTTTTGAAATGACAGTTATTTTGAAATGAATATTATATAATTTATTATCAGTTACGTGCACCGTACAGTTGTGTGTTAATTTTAAATAGACATTTTTTATGTAATTTTTCACAATTTAAATTTCATATAACATTTTCAATAAATTAATATATGTAAATTATATTACATATTGATTCTATGTTTTTAATTTATAAATATTATTTAATAAATATTTTTAAATTATGATATCAATATATATATCTATTGGAAACAGTAAAATGGGCATCACAATTTTCGAATTACCCTAAAATAAAATCAAAATATTCTTGAATACTATCAAGTGTTCTGGAACACGGAATCATGAGTTGAATTTAAAGGTCGGAACTCCAATTATGTTGTTGCGGAACATGGATCACTCAATGGGACTCTGCAATGGTACACAATTGGTTGTGACTAAACTCTCCAATCATGTTCTCGAGTGTAAAATTCTTACTGGCGATCATGCAGGTGATAAAGTTTTGATACCTTGAATGACCATAACTCCTTCGGATGTTAGAGTACCATTCAAATTCCAAAGAAGGCAGTTCCCCATTATGGTTTCGTATGCAATGACTATAAACAAGAGTCAAGGTCAATCCTTATCTCATGTTGGCTTATTATTGAAGAAACCAGTTTTTAGTCATGGCCAGTTATATGTCGCTGCCTCCCGTGTTATTAATAGAAATGGTCTTAAAATTTTAATTTGTGGAGAAGAAGGTTTGAAAGCAAATCAAACCAATAATGTTGTGTACAGATAAGTATTTAATAATATATGATTTTATTTTTCTGTACTTTGTACTCTCTTTTTTTTCTATTACAATCAAATTATTAATTTATAAACAAAAATATTAAATAAAGTTTAGACAAAAAGGTTTGAGAAAATAATTCCACCGGCGCACCGTTACTACACTATATTTCTCAAAATGAATATAGTTCGTGCATCGCACGAGTTACGTACTAGTATACATAATTACTAGGCTAAACATTTAAGAAAACCTTATAAATAAAATCTACGTGGCATTTTCCCGCCTAAACACAATTTCGCCCAAACAAGGTATGTTATTTACACTTCTCTCTAGGTTTCTCGCCCAATAAATGCTTGGCTCAAAAAGGTACTGTATGTTTCTTGCTCTGACCAATAACGATTTTAGAGTTATTATTTTCAACTAGTACGTAACCCGTGCGATGCACGGGATATAAAATTTAGAAGAATAATATAACCTCACGTGCATTAGGATCGAAATTGAAATCATTAAAATACATAGGAACATTGTTGAATCATAAAAAGTTCGGTAACAATCATATATTATTAAAAACATCCTTGTACACAACATTATGAGTTTGATTATTTGGTAACTCCTCATTATCACAAACTAATATTTTCAAAAGAGACAAATCCTAAAAATCAAACTAATATTTTTGGTGAACAAACTAATATTTTAGGATTGGTGAACAAACTAATATTTTAAGATTTCTAGGATTTGTCTCTTTTTGGTGAACAAACTAATATTTTAGGATTGGTTATATGAATAAGGCTACCTGTTTTTGGTGTTCTTTTCATTCATTTTCATTCAAACAATCCGATGACTTGTATAATGAAATCTGAATCTTAAGCCGAAAATATTTAGAAAAAGAGTTTTTAAAAATTGAAAAAAGGCAATCAGTTCAGATTAATTAAAGGTCAAAGAATATCCGCTCCTTGAAATAAAGACGTGTGCTATCATTAACCAAATATCCGGTTATTGATATGGAGTGGTTACCAAAAAATAGAACGCGATAAGGACGCTTCATGGAAATATCAATGGGATAAGGTCATAACAGATCGCTATACATTTTAACGATAAAAGCTTAGATGGAATGATTTATGATAATTATGTCGTAATTAATGAATTAATTAGATGTGTGAAAAGGACATAATTAATGAGAAGTGTGAAAAGGACAAAAACTTACCAGTTTTGGAAAATATTTAATGCAAATCCGACATTGACCATAATTTGACCTACTATTTTGGATAAATGTTAATTCTTATTATATAAGTATAGATTAATTACTAAAATAGTAAACCTGGTGTGGCCTCAATTTTATTCCTACCCTAAATCATTTTTTTGGCTCAAAAAGGTATGTTATTTACTCTAATTGCAACAGTAATATTTACCCAATTATCATTTTTTAATTAATTAATAAATCTGACTGGCAATTTGGCATTGATATTAATTTGTCACTTTTTTTTAACTTCTCCATAAAAAAATGTATAAAGCAAAGAGAAAAAAAAATAATAATTTTACCAACAATCAACATTATTAAAACAAATCATCTTCAAAAATAAATATTTTTTCAAAAAGAGCATCACAAATAATATATATAATATATATATATATATATATNCATTTTCCGTTACTTTTTCATTAATCAAGTATTTATATTTTTTTTATTTTATTATATAACAATCACTATTAATAAATTATAAAGTCACATTAAATAATATTATAATCTATTTTTTTTAAACTATTCATTTATTTTTTAACTCATTAACCAAGTTTTCTTATTAATATTAGTTAATTATTTTTTATGATATAGCCAAACCTTTGAAAATTTCGTGCACAATTGCAATAATAATAATTTTAATATTTTTTTATCTATTCAATTGTGCATAATCATTAAAGTGCAAAAATTATATTATTGCAATCAATATAAAGATTAAAATGTATTAATAGTTTATATTTATATCGTTTATTTTTAGTACTGATAAAATTTATAAAATTTAATATGTTCATTATCTAACTTATGATTTTAAATATCACATATACACATATAACATATAAAATTTTATTTGCATCTGTGCATGTGTGCAGGCTAGAATACTAGTAGTTAACAAGCACAACACGCATAAGATAATAAATATTAACTTTCAAGTAATCTCACAAAAGTCAAAACAAACAAAACACATTAGTAATCTCTACAAGCCAATCTATATATACTACCTCCTTTTTTTTATAAATGTCATTTTGGCTTTATCAATAATTGTCTAAATAAATGACGTTTTGGATCTTTTGTACATATTTTTCCATTATTACCCCTATTTAGCTAAAAAATACACTATGTCTTTTCATATTCACTCTTTATATTTTTTCAAAACATCAATCTCTATCCTCATAAATGAGGGTTATTATTGGCAAAAAAAAATATTCTTAATTAGTGTGCAACTTCTCCAAACGACATCTATTAAAAAAAGGAGGGGGTATATAATAAGAATTAACATTTATCAAAATTAGTAGGTCAATTTATGGTCAAAGTCTGGTTTGCATTAATTGTTTACCAAAAATGGCAAGTTTGATGTCCTTTTCACACGCCTCATTAATTACACCGAATTAATTATCATAAAATCATTCCATATGAGCTGTTTTTGTTACACGCCATTGCATTAATTTCGTCCTAATAAATAGCGAACATTAACTGCAACAAGTAATATGTAATAATCCATTGCATTAATTTTTTCACAATTTGGGCTCAACTTTTCCCATTTTTTGTGGAGGGATTTATTTCATTGTATATGATTGATGCAAATCCTTTTTTATGGAATCCAAATCCGTACAATACACGTAGTATCTGTTGTAAATCTGTCGAAAATAATTTAATATATACTGGTATAAATCTATTGAAAATAATTTAATATATACTGGTATAAATCTGCCAAAAACTAATTATAAATTAATTTAATATATAATGTATCTATACTTATATAAAGAAGCCATCCCATTTACTAAAATTAGTAGGAAGAAAAGTCAAAGGTAATTAATGCATTCTATTTCTATCAATTAATTTTTATTTAATTATTTTTTCCCATAAAAACGGTACAAAAAAAAGATGTACGTAAAACAAAAAAATGCAGATTTGATCGGATGATAAAATCATGATTTTACCAAAAATAAATCAGATGTCAAACCTAAATTGAAGGGTTTGGTTGTCTATATAGATATTGATTTACATAAATAAATACATTTAATATTTATAGTTTGTGTAGATTTAAAATTCCTTCTTATCTTTGTACAAAAAATCTTATCTAATTGTATGGAAAATATGATCTGATTTGTTCCTCTACATATAATGTGATTTCCGTATATCAAGATTTTTTCTTAAAAATCTTAACAGATATTGATTCTACTCTACTAATTATAAATTATAAATATCAAAATATTGAGCCATCGTCTTCCTCACTTTCAACCTCCTGCGAAAAAAAAATCCCCAATCAGTCTTTCATTCAAAACAATGAATCAAGTATTTTTGCTTAATCAAACAAGTTAATAGGTCTAATAGACCTATGCTTAAAGTTTTAATTGTAAGGATGTTTTTACAAGACTGGGGCAACACGTGCAAATCCTATCTCGAGTTGGTTCTGCATGATAAAACTGTAAGCCAAATTATTTTTATTTTATTTTTTTATTTCGAAATATGAAACGTATATTTTTTATTTTTTTATTTTATTTTTAAAATTTAGAATTTGCCTTATTTCTTCTAGAGATCGTGTACATATTTAGATATTTACATTATTTATGTTTTTTAAACAAATTAATTTTTTATGATTGTTTTTTTGTACATGTTTAGTTTGTGAAAATGACGAGTTGTCCAATAATCAAACTCATAATGTTGTGTACAAGGAAGTCTTTAATAATATATGATTGTTTCTTTGTCAAATATTATCTTATTGTACAATTTTCTTACATGTCGTAAAACTTTTATTTAATATTGCATCTTATAATATAATATTCTCCAAATAAATATATCCCGTGTCACGTACTATATATATCTCATTCATTTTTCTTTATTCATGTATATAATTAGAAGTTTGGATAAATAACCTTAAAATTGTGCACCCCGTACATCGCACGGGCTCTGAACTCTGCACTAATATTACTAAACATGATTAAACTTATCTTATTTCATCTAAACAAGTAATCGTTGTACCTAACAAATCCTGTACTTGCACATGGGACTTTCCCCCAATCTGAACCGTCGATATCATTGCAGTAAAACCGCTCGAAATTTTCACTACACACTTCTCATTTCTGCCGCACCAAAATCTCAATTTTCAGACTGCAGAAATTCACCATCGCAACAGGAGGTATGGTTTTAGGGTTCTTAATTGTATCTCCGAGCCCCCCATTAAGGTTATTGTGCAATACTTACTTTATTGTACAATTGTTGTGAAGTTCTCAATTGTTCGGAGTTAATCGAGTTAATTATCGATTTTTGTGTTTGAATTGCTTCGTGTCTTATTGTATTCTGGAAATTGTGCTGGAACTATGTAACTAAGAACTGGGCATTTCTTTTTGGGCTTCAATTTTTGGGATTTGGAGGGTTTATAGTAACGTTTATTCTTATTATAGTTAGTGGTTACATTAGTAGCTTGTCGCCGATGTCATTGGCCTTGTTTCTTGTTTTTTTAATGATGGTTGACGAAGATCAAGTGCATTGTGATTTGGTACGAATAATGAGAACCTGCTACTTTCTAGGTAGGCTGAGTTGTAGTTGAAACTGTCAAGGAAGACATTGATGATCATTGTGATAACGAAAAATTTTATCATTATGGAATTGAATTCGTATGTAGAGAGATTATCTGTAAAACTACCAGTAGGTACCACTGTGCTATCAGTCAATGACAACATGGAAATACCTTTTGTCGTCCTATCTTGTATATCAGTTTATGATAGCTTAATGCTTCTTTAGCTGTGATGTAGACACATGGAAATATAGGCTTAATTATCACTCGGACATTGTAAGTGTTTATACATTTACATCGAGAGACATAGAATTTTATATAATAAACTTTTTTAGCAGTTTCTCGATATTCTAGTGGTACGAATTCATACCGTGCCGCCCACCGTGCTCCTACATCTTCAGTTAACATGTTTATAACTCTTAGCATGCTGGACTTGGTGTTGTTTATTGATATTTCCACTATTGTACTCAGATCATGTAAATGATGCCATCTAATTAGTGTCTTATACTTCTGCCTTTTCCCATTCAGTATTTGCTTACGACAAAGGATAAGTTATGAAATCTAAAAGAAAAGGCAAAAATATAGACCAACCAAATGCTGAAATAAAGAAGTCGAAGGTTTCAGTAGTCGGTGAACAGAAGGCTATTGTTCCTTCATCTCTTGCTGACCATGTTGATGGTGATCCCACTACTGAACTTCAAAGAAGTATAAATAGAGCTGCTACAGGGGTTCCAGAGGAGAAAAATGAAAAAGAAAAGCACCTCTCTGGGTTCATATTCATGTGCAATCGGAATACGAAGTTAGAATGTTACCGATACCGCGTGTTTGGACTTCCTTTGGGGAAGAAGGAAGTGGTGGAGGAGATAAAGCCTGGAGCAAAGCTATTTTTGTTTGATTTTGAGTTAAAGCTTCTGTATGGAATATATGAGGCGACCACCACTGGAAAGCTGAACTTGGAGCCTGCTGCTTTTATGGGGAGATTTCCTGCTCAGGTGTAGCATCATGCTGTTTTCTGCTTAGGTGTATTAGATATCAACTCAAGCACACAACACAGTAACAAAATAAATAGCATCTGCATTGTGTTATCTATGAATGCTGTTAGTATTGAATTTTTCCTTGCATCATTAATGACCCAGCTGTTTATGGACTAGCTTCATAGCTAGAATTTTAATTGAGAACCTGCCAAAAAAGCATTTTCTGATATATAACAATCTTTCGTACTGTATCAATGATCATTATCTGCAGTCATACTCGTTCATCTAAATTCACTGCTGTGAGGCGTGGTGTTTTTCATTCATGTTTGCCTATTTACTTGCATCCGTAAATTGTTGTCTCTAGCCTTAAGCTTCAAGTAGCTGCATGATATAATTTATGTGTCTGATATTCACAGGGCTCGTGAAGGTGAATTTCCTGAGAATTTTATTAAGAATGGTTTTTCGGTGCTTATCAATTGGTAAAGTTACTATATTTAATCTTTGGTGAAAACATCTGCATAAAACTTGCTCTGCTTCTCGCACATTTTCTCTCTCTGAGTATCAGAACTTAAAAACTGAACTTATTACAGCCTGCTATAATATTTGCTCCTGGTGGCATATGTGCTGACAATTGAGATCTTAGTTTAACTAATTGCAATCAATTACAGTGTGACCTTGTCATATGAGGCTGCGGGTTCTTTCACTTTCAGGTAAAATTCAAAATTTTCAGGGAATGTCTCCCCCTCCATGAGAGTTCTCTCAAGCATATTATAAGGGAGAATTATACAGGCTCAAAATTCAAGCAAGAACTCACTGGAAAGCAAGTGGGTCACGTTTCTCCTTAATCCCACGTGCTTGTGTTTAGTGAATCTTTTTCTTATCTAAAAATATTTGTTTGAAGTATTTAATAAAGAATATATATATATATATATATATATATTTATATATTTTTTTTTTTCATTCTAAACAGGTGGAAAATTTGTCATCCTCACTTCGTCCTCTTGACGCATTATCATTATCTCGGCCTTTACCGCTTGTTCAAGCCAATGCCTCACTATCTCAGGCAATGCCAACGGGACCTCTATCTATGCATGCAGGGAGGATGTCTGCAAAAGATGTGCCATATGTAGCTGATACGCATCATCTACGCATTCCGCCATCCATGGGGCCTCGATATGACCCAAAAGCAAACATTTTGGCATATGGGCACTCTGGGGCATCGGGTCAGGTGGAACATGTTAATCCAACTTTAGATCTTCAAAATTTGGCAAGACTATGTAATTATTATGTAAATGTTGCCAAGTCTCAACAACCAGCTGTACCTGAACGTGTTGCTAATGGGGCTCGGGAGACATCCTATTCTAGGTACCTTCATCCTTAACCTTTTGGATGTTTGACAAATAGTAAAAATAAATGCAACTACTTGAAAGATGAAAGGAATCAGTACAAACTATCCATAACTAACTTAATAATGCGCCAGCCCACTACTTCTGCTTTGTGTTGTGTGCATTTTTGTTTCTAAGTGAGATCTTTTGTCCAACGGGGCCACATATTAGTTGTAATGGAACTGTGTTGTTATTTGGATGGGTGAAAAAGCTAAGTGCATCTTGCACAGAACTTGAGTGAAGGTATCATAACTGATACACCTATATCTCATCATCATCATCATGAAGTCCTTTAATAAAAAATAAATAAATATTACTTAGTCCTACATATGCCATATGGCCTAACCACAAATAAACTTCCAGAGAAGGGCAATAAGATAAGACATAGGATTGGTGATAAATTAACTAAGATCCTTTTAATGCTTAATGACGTTGCATAAACCCTTTACTTTAAGGAGCATGAATATAATCCCCAACTACTCGATCTACTGTTTCTATGCTTTCTGAACTTTTGGCCCCATGTATCTATAAAAATTGTATACATCACGAGGTTAGGCTTCTAAATGGAACTAGAATTATGATCTGTTATTCTCCAAACAAAATAAGATATGTGTACTTGGGCTGCAGGTCAGGTGCATCAACATAATATATTCAGTTTTCACCTTTCTCACTCGTCTTCCTATCCCTTTTTACCTATTTGATCAATGGAAGACATTTGAATGATTTTCACTGCTTTGGTAGTTACAGGACCCCAGAAGAGAGACCTATTCATGATCAGATCAGCAGCTTGGAAATGCGGTATCATCATACAAAAATTTCTCCCTTTTTTTTTCCCGGCTAACGTTCTTCGTCTTTATACCTTTTTCCTTATTTTGATCAAGGGGAGATATTTGACTGATTTTCATGTACTGCTTTGGCAGCTACAGGGCCCAACAAGAGATTCCTCCTCATAATCAGGTCACCAGCTTGGAAATGCGGTATCTTCCTACAAAACTTGTTCCCTTTTGTTTTTATAACTTACCCTTATTCTTCGTACTTCTTTCCCTGTTGATCAATGTGAGGCATTCGCTGAATTTCAAGTACTGCTTTTACAGTTACAGGACCACAGAAGAGAGGCCTCCTGGTGATCAGGCCACAAGCTTGGAAACGCGGTAGCAAAACTGTTCTCTTATGATTTTTCAATTTAAAAATCACATAAAGCTAATTTGATGATTCTGAATTACGGGCTTCAAAGGTACAAACTGTAGAGTGTGCTCCTTGATAACCGGTCATACTTGTATTTCTTTTTTTCTTTTCTGTTTTTTTTTTCTTTTTTGATTCTCGATATATTGCATTATGAGGAATGGTGGGGGGTTTATGTGTTGAGATAATGCAAATTCTGAAGAGGCGAGAGTTCTGTAATTTGGCTATAGAAACCAGGGATTTCTTTATTCATAATAAATTATCCATAAGGCCTCGACTAATTCCAAATTACCACTTTTCGACAGTCACCCAACTGTAGACGGGACAGATCCTCACAAACAGTACTATCACCCGCCCATGCAGGGAGACCCATCAGCAGTATATCAAGAAAACTTGGCTTCATATAACCCAACTGCTCCATCTCTCTACACCTCGACTTCATCAGCCGTGCAGCCACAAGTAATACCCTCCCCATATCAGCCTTTACCTTTGCAGGCAGCCCCACAGTACCAAGATAGTGCAGTTGCGTACAATCCCAACCCACCGGCTCAGCCGACTCAATACACTGCACCGCCAGTCATATACGCAGATAGTTATTATGCGCCATCAACGAGCACACAGCCACAGGCATTGTGGGGCCAAGAAAGTGCAGCTGCGTACAATACAAACCCATCGGCTCAGTCGACTCAGTACAGAGCGCCACCTGTCATGTATGCAGATAGCTATTATGCGGCTGCATATGCTCAATCGACACAGCCACAACAGGTTGGGGTATCGCAAGTTGGTGCACCCATCAACTACTCGTATTACCCTTACGGTACGACTGGTTAACAACTAACTAACTAACTTTTTGATAGTTTATTGAGTGTTGAACATGAAGTAGATGAATCTTGGATTTGGTATATTTGGGTAATTGGGTCTTGTGATGATCTTATTATGTTGGATGGATTTGGTTGCATGTTTTGAATTTGTACACTTGGTGGTGGTGACTGGTGAGTGATTATTGTTGTTATTGGGTTAGGGGGCTCCTGGTTCCATTAGTGGTGCTTTTGTGTGCTATGTGTTGTTAATGCAAGAAAACATGAAAAGTTTAAGTAAAAGAAATCTCCCTAGCCCGTTGTGCATTTTAATATTCGATATGATGAATTAACTCAGCTGGCAAATAATTTAGTTCACTAATTTTTCAGTCAGCGTTTTACAGCGAAAGTACGAAAATAAAAATCATATTTCTGCAACCATGCTTCATTATTCTACATTACTTCAGAACATTTTTTTTTTTTTTTTTTTTTTTTANGTTATGTTTCAGTGTATATTAACATATAGAAAAACAAAAGCAAAACATATGGAAAGATCATTAATGTTTGTGATCTTATGAGTTACACTTAAAGATGACAGTGGTCGAAAACTATTAATCAATTTAATATACCTATTCAGACACCATATAATCGGAGAGTGCTAAATTACGTGTTTGTTAAGCACAATTAGCTTATAAGCTTGCTATGTTTAAATAAGATTGGCTGGGTAGTAGGAACTATTTTTAAAAAAATTAATATTTATCTGATATGCTTTTTTTGTAGCTTTTAAAAAGAACCATTGGAATATTTATTTAGTGACATATCAACTAATTTTATCTCATACTATACATCTGCTTATTCATAACTATCATCTATAAACTATCAATTACAAAATCAAATTTAAATGTGCAACTACAAAATCAAATTTAAATGTGCTGTTATCAAGTAGTTTTTCATGTAGATGTATCAAACATACGATACAAAGTTATCAACTACAAACTCAAAATTTGAATTTGCTGTTATCAAATTTAAATGTGCTGTTATCAAGTAGTTATTCACTCTTTCTCAGCCCTTGAAGCATGAACTTATATCGTTCTCTACAACTAAATCGAGCTCCATTTTTTTTCCTTTGCCGTGATGCTTTATTGCCTTGGTCTTTTCTTTTCTTCCCTTTGGGTTGGGCCAATTTAGGAAGAACTCATTTAATTATCTCACTGCAAAATCAACAACTCCCTCCAACCAAATGAATCTTAAATTGATTCTCTCTCTCTCTCCAAAATACACACCTTGTACTCCTGTTTTAACAAAACCACTAAAGGGCATATTTGTATTCATATGAGCCGAACAATAACAAAACTTACGCGCTCCATTAAAAATAAAAGTCAATTGTTATTTGTCCTGAAATACTTGAGAGATGATAATAGCAGCAAAGAACATAAGTTAAACACATTTATTAGTAATTTTTTTTTTAAGAAAAAAAACTAGCACAATTTTCATGTCAGGGAACAATCATAACTCATAAATCTTCTTGAGGCTCAAAACAAAAAGAGAGAGATAATAGGAAAGTCGAAATTCACTGTTGGAGACGTTTCATGACAACAAGGGACATATCCAAGTAGCGCTGGGCACAGTTGGTAAGACAGGTGGCTTCACTCGAGCTGAACTTGCTTCCCGGCGTACCCGTTATGCATTTGTCCCAGCAAGTGGATGTTAGCTTTCCAATCATTTGGTTCACCATAGCCTTTTGCTGTTCTTGCTGCATAAAGATGCCATAGTAGGAAATGTCAAGTGTCACAAGAAAAGACCATCAAGATTCAAGAGCTCCAAATTTCAAACAAGCAAAGAACAATCACAATCACATGCTTTTTGCAGACTTTCTCGAACAAAATTGCAGTTATGCACAATGACAACAGGGGACCATCCCTAGCAATAGAAAGATTTTACAACAATTGAGCCAATCCATTGCAAATTTCTATGCAATGAATCATAAAAGTGCTATAATATTCATGCACTAGCACTGTTGAGCCTGAAGATCTGTTTAACCAATAATAACAGTTAAGCTGCAAAAAATTATTTTGTACATGGCAGGGGTATGGTACATACTGCTCTATTTAATTCGAGCCTTCAGCTGTTTCAAACATAATATTGTTGATAATAACAAGATATGAGAAAATTGAATGGTTTCAAAGGTGTATGGCCTCCACATGATTGTACTTCACTATTACAAGTATAGTGACTATGCTGGACTATAAACACAACAAACAAGAATCATTTAACGAAACAGAGATTCTAAATCAAAGGGCAATATGTTATACCCCGGAAAATTACCACTGACAATTAGAATGGGAATATGGACTAGTCACCTGGCTGGACCCACACAACTGTAAAAAATCAGTTTTTAAAAAACGTACACACACTCCAAAGTGCTCATTCAAATAAACAAGCCTTCTATAAAACCTAAGAAATTTCATCACATATTCAAAAAATGTGGTCATGAAAACAAACGTTTTTTTATCAATTAAAGGAAAGAGCTTCTTTTGCAACTTGAATCCCAAATTTCGTATCCAAAAGCTGAAGAATATGTTTTCTTATCAATTAAAGGAAAGAGCTTCTTTTGCAACTTGAATCCCAAATTTCGTATCCAAAAGCTGAAGAAAATCAAATGAGGACAAAAGTACACAAACGTATAGAGACGAGCCAATATATAAAAAGTAGCGAGCAATAGTTACATTGATAAATTGCTGTAGCTCGGGGCTGTTGAGCGATGACTGATCCATTGAAGACGGGATAATTTCTTGTGCTTAAAGACTCCAGTGAAAAGCTCGAAAACAAAAACCCTAGACAAACCCAGTTAAAAGGGCAGAGAAAACCGATAATTGTCTAAATAGTGGGCTTCATAGGATAATATTAGCATCTATATGGGCCTGAGACACTCAATTTCGTGGGCCAGGAAAGTTGGCTCACGCATTTGGAAACAAACTGATGAACTCATGAACACCAATGCTGACATCATAAATCGCGCTTACTTATTTGCAAGGTTGTCAAAATCGGACCGGTCAACGAACCGATTAAGGTACTGGTTCAATGGTTCACTAGTCCGACCAGTAACTTTTAAAAGGTTGGTCCCACAATATATAAATTAAGTAATACAATGATAGTTTAAAAATATGAAAAAAGAATATTTCTTCACACTCCCACCTTAAGCAATAAAATAATAAGAAGATAATCACTTCGTATTACTCAATCATTTTTTAACCAAAATCGGCCACGTTGCCACTATGCCTTCTTCTTTAGAGCATCCACAATGCATTGGGTTTAATTTTACCTATGTGGCATGTAAATAGACTTAAGTCTTAAATGACATGGACAAACTCAAGTAAAAAAACTCAAAAGTTATTCAATGTAAAAATAAAATACTAGGTCTAGCATACATGCCAACCAATAAAAATACTTTAATATGCTTTCTTTATTAAAAAAAATATTAAATTAAGAAAAATGATGAGTGTTTGGGTTTGTACTTGGGTCCAAAATAGACCCAAGTATGGACTTGGTCTCTTTTTTTTATTGCCACATAAGCTAGACCATGTCTACTTATAATTGCATTGGGAGACATTATTTTATAGACTATGTCTATTTCCTACATGACATGTGATTTTTTGTTAAGAGACCCAAAGCATTGTGAGTGCTCTTATCACTTCATAAAGCTTAAAAAAAGAAGAAGAAAAAGTCCAGCTTTTCTGAAAATGGATAAGCAAAAAATCAAGAAATACGGCAAACTCACGGCAATATTCGACCTATCCAATAGCCCGATCTCGCCTTGCCGGAACCTCAACATCATCGACTTCCGTCTGGGTTTGTTTTATCAATCCAATTAGAGTAGGGAAAGGCTGTCGGAAGATTTATTTTTTTTTTCTAAACACAAGCTAGCGACCGGTTGAACCATCGGTTTTTGCTCGGTTTTGTCCGGTTTTGACCGGTTCGACCGGTCATTGACCGGTTTTGCTCACAGGCGGTTTCATCCATCGAACCGGACCGGTGAACTGGTCGGTTCCCGGTTCAACCGGTCGGACCGGCCGGTCCGGTCTGGTTATGACAACTTGCTTATTTGTGTGGTTTGTTAAACAAGGTGCTGGGGTAATTCTTTCTTGTCAATATCAAGGAGATAAGAAGAATGAGGAAATCAGAAACAAAATCAAAGTCGAGGCACGTAATAGTTACGTTCTCTTTAAGACGAAATTGCACCGTAAAATACCTACAGTAACGGCAACGCTTCCAAGATGCAACGACTTTTGGCGATACTATTATTTGAAACACTCATGACTCAATAAAAACTTAAAGAACACAATATGCTATCAGCAATGCAAGGGCTCTTAATTTTCAAGTATTTCTTGAATGATTCAAGCATGTGGGTGTTATAGATGTAGAAAACATCTCCAGGGGTCAAAAGACTCATTTACGGATGAATCTGGACGGAAACGAACGCAACCAGTCGAGTCAACATCTTTTGGTAGCGTCGCGCTTACAGAGACTGAGGCATAATAAATTTGCAATTTGCAAGAACGTCTTGCACTTGACCCAACAGTTACAAGTGTTAAATTTAATATGTAAGATTTTTATTTATTTTGTAAATTGTAAATTTGTAACAGTAATATAATATATCTAATTTCTATATTTTTTTTTAAAGTTGGACNAAAAAAAACAAAAACAAAACAAGCCCAAACACTTTGCATGCATACATACAAAAAAGGCCCAGTTAAAATTCATTGGGCTTTTGAAATTGGTCTGCGCTACAAGATAGTTGTGTTAAATGCAGTTGAAACGCTAGAACCGCTTCCGGTTTTAGGTTTGACCGGCTTTCAAACGGTCCAGCCGGTCGGATTCGGTTTTACAAACCATGAAGATAAATACATTTTCTGGTACTGTGAAAATAAACAACTAGCACAATTCTAATATTCTGATGTTGGGAACAATCATATCTCATAAATCTTCTTAGAGGCTCAAAATGAAAATATAGAAAGAAAAGGAAAATCAAAAATCATTGCTGGAGACGTTTCACGACGAGACGGGTCATATCCCAGTAGCGCTGGGCGCAGTTTGTAAGACAGGTGGCTTCACTCGAGCTGAACTTGTTTCCAGGCGTACCCGTAATGCATCTATCCCAGCAAGTGGATGTTAGCTTCCCAATCACTTCATTCACCATAGCCTTTTCCTTCTCTTGCTGCATAAGAATCCATAGCAGGAAAAGTCAAGTGCCACGATAAAAGATCATCTAGAGCTCCAAATTTCAGACAAACAAAAAACAATCATATGCTTTTTGCAGGCTTTCTAGAACAAAATTACAGTTATGCACAATGACGATTGAGTCA